AGGCTTATATTAATAGAGCCTTAATTAAACACTTAGATTATATATATATTATATACCTAGATAATATCCTTATCTATACTAGTAGTAATAAAGTTACACTCTACTAGTATACTATACACGCTATGCTTTAATTACTATATAAGGTAGAGTTATTTATTAACCTACTAAAGTGCACCTTTATATCTAAAAAGGTCTACTTTCTAGGCTTTATTATTAGCACGTAAGGTATATACGCTAATCCTACTTAGGTAGAGACTATTACCTAATAGCTATAGCTAACTAATATTAAGGAACTATAATCTTTTCTAGGTTTTACTAACTTCTACTAATACTTTATTATAGGCTATACTATATAGACTACCCCTCTTACTAATTTACTTAAAAAGGATAATAGCTTTACTTAGATACCTACTATAGATAAGTCTTTTAAGATACTTAAAAAATACTTTTTAAGCGCGCCTATCTTATACTACTTTAACGCTAAGCACCCTATTTAAGTAGAAATAGATACTTCTACCTTTACTATTATAGGTATTCTTTTATAACTTTTTAAAGATAATAAATAGCACCTAGTTACCTTTATCTTAAGGAAATTATAAGCTACTAAGCTAAATTATAAAGTCTATAACTTAGAGCTGCTAGCTATTATTTATAGCTTTAAGTAGTAGTAATACTACCTAGAAGGCACCTAGTTATACTATATAAGTGCTAAGTAACTATAATAACCTATATAGGATACACGCTATATAAAAGCTAAACCTATAATAAGCTTATTAGGTAATATATCTAGGAGCTTTTAACTTTAAAGTAGAGTATAGATTAGGGAAAACTAACTATATAGATAGCCTCTTAAGAAGGGTAGATTATATATAAGAGAACCTATTACTAACCTAATTATTACCTACCTTATAAAGTAAACTACTTATAAGGGATAGACTTAGTAGAGTAAGTAGATCTATAGATAAGTAGAGCTTGTTAGGCGCGTGTAAGACACACGTTACTATAGTTTATAGAACTAGAAAGGTCCCTACTACTAGCGCTATAGTATACACGCTATGCGTGCCACGCTTACTAGCTAGGGTATTAGCTAGTAGTAAACCTATAATAGTAGAGTACTAATTACTTATTAAGACCTTATACTAGTTATAGTAGGGGGACGCCTTTATATAGTAATAGGTTATAAGCTTAATACCTAAGAATAGCACTTAAAACTATAGAAAAGCGTATATTTAGCACTTAGATAAGAAGGAAGTCCTAAGATATAATAGTAGAATATATATTCTAGAGGAACTAGCTATTAAGTAAGAGATTTTATTCTAGAACTATAACTTATATATAGTAGGCTACTTTAGCGTATATAGGATACTTAAGCTAATTAAGAGGATATACTACTAGCCTACTCTATATTAAGATATTTAGGATTATATAAGAATATATACTATTTACTAGAGGAGTAAGGCTCTAAGGTATAGCTAATATAGAAAGCTATTACTACTACTAGTCCCCTAGAGAAATCTTTAAGGAGGTTATACTAGACTTTATTACTAGCCTACTACTAGTAAAGGACTTTATAGGTTATATATTTAATATAATCCTTATAATAGTATATTACTTCTTAAAGATAGTACTTTATATACCTACTTTAAAAATATAGGATATAAAATAGTTTATAGAGGCTTACTTTATATATATTATTTTAAAGTTTAGGATCTAGAAAGGTATTATATTAGATAGAAAAGTAGTTTTTACCTCTTTATTCTAAATAGAAATCTACTACTAACTATAGGTAAAGTATAGGCTAAGCACTACCTTCTATCTATAGATAGATAGGCAAATAGAACACTAGAACTAGACCCTAGAATAATACTTAAGAATATTTATATTAAGTTCTTAAGAAGACTAGGTAACACTTCTTACTATAGTATAGTTTACCTATAATAATTTAGTATATAAGTTAATAAAAGTTACCCTATTCTAGGTAGTATATAGTAAGTATCCCTTACTTACTAAGCTACTTAAGGTTAGTAAGCTAGAGGGGGAGATACTAGATATAATTAAAAGAGTAAAGTATATATATAGTATAAGAGTAATAATAAAAGAATAGCTAGAGAAAGTATATAAATATTAGAGCTAATACTATAATAAGAAATATAAAGAAGAAACCTTCTACCTAGGAGATCTAGTACTATTTAGTACTAAGTATATTAACTTAGCTAAATAACCTAGTAGGAAGCTATCTAGTAAGTTTATTAGCCTATTTTAGATATAAGGCGTAGTTAGAATATAAGTATATTACCTACTTCTTTTACCCTCGTATTATATTTATAATATATTCTATATTTCCCTACTAGAATATTAGAATCCTAGAATAGGAGAAGAGGATAACACCCTCCTACTAGACGTAACACCTAAAGGAGAAGAAGTTTAGGAGGTAGAGAAGATTCTAGGGAAGTAGAAAAGGAAAGGTTAACTATAATACCTACTCTACTAGAAAGGCTATAATAAATCCTAGGATACCTAGACTCTACCCTTAGACTTTTAGAATATAAATAATATAATTTAATAATATAAACTTAGTAAAGCTCCTTATATAAGAAAAGTAAGAAAGGATTATAAGTAATATATAGAAAATATAGTAAAGAAGTATATCTTTTTATATAGCCTCTAGCCTAAATATAGCCTTAGGCCTATAGGTATCTATAAATATAAAAATACCTAATATAATTTATAGGAATTACGCCCTATATATAATATACCTACTCCTCCTAAGCGCCCTTACTCTTAACTACACCCTCCTTACCTTTAGTATCCTCCTTATCTCTACTACTATTACTAGCTTTAATACTAGTACCCTCCTTATTATTATTATTACTAGAGGAGCTATTAGTATTATTACTACTATTAGAAGCCTAAAATTAGTTAGCATACGCCCTATATATGCTTAATAAGCGCACTTATAAGTCTAGCCACGTGGCCTATAATCTACTTAAGTATAGCTATAATATAACGCTGCTCTATAAGGATTAAGCTAAGGAATTAGGGTAAAGTAGTAGGGACCTAGGTAGCCACACCTAAAGGTGTGCTAGTATAGGTAGTAATATAGTAGCGGCTTAATAGCTCTAAGTTAAACTAGCGCTAGTAGCGTGTAAGCTTAATGCCTATAGTAATTATATTAGCGTCTATCCTTAGAGTAGTAGTATTTATAACTATAGTATTATAGTTAGCGTAGAGGGCGTATAAATAATTTAATTAACTATTTATTACCTAAAGTACCTATAAAAATTAGCTATAGCGCACCTAAAGTAAACTTTTAGTACTAACCTTAGTATACCTACTATAGTTACTAGTAGTATAGTGCTTATAGTAATAATACTTAGGTATATTATAATCCTTTTTCTACTTAGTAATATTTTAAGCGTAGCGTAGGTAGTATTATAGACTAGCCTTAAGGGAGAATATAATAAGCGTTAATAATAGTATTTAGTATCTTAAAGGAGAGGTAAGCCCTCTACGCCTTTTTATAGGTGTCTAGTGTGTTTACTTAGTAGTAGTGTTAGACTTAGTCTATCTTGTGTTAGACCTAGGCTTAGGTATAAGCCTAAGCCCTTTATAGGTAGGTTATAGCTAGGGCTACCTAATCTACACACTTAGCTAGCGTATTAAACGCGTAGGGCTAGGTACTATAAAGGTGTAACTTCTTAATATATTTAGGGTTTAGATAGTAAACTATATTAATAGGTATAGGATATATAGTTAAGGTGTGTTATAGGTGCTTAAAGATTAAGGTATATAGTAGTAAAGTATTTAGTTATTTATAATATATAGAGCTTAGGCCTTAACTAAGTAATAAGTAAATAGTTAACTTTCTATACTATAGTATAATAATATATATATACTATATACCTATAATATATATAATATATAGAAGGAACACTTATATAGCGTATCTATAGGTTAAATTATAGATACTCTTTTCCTTCCTTATAGAGTAAGGTTTTTATTAAGGCTATAGGTTACTACTAGGGACTATAGCTAGAGAGGGAGATTCTATAATAACCCTATTATAAAGATACCTTATAGTGTTCTAGTTAATTAGGTGTATCCTTAGCTAGGTTTAGTATCTTAGCGCCTAAGCTGCGTAAAACCTGCGCTTTATATAGGGCTTAGGGAGGATAAGTATTATTCTTATATTAATACTATACTAATAGCTATCTCTATACTATTCTATCTAGTGTAAAGCAAATACTATTGCCTACAACTAGAACCTTACACTAGGAGTAAAAGAACCTTAAAGAATAGGAGCTATAATACTAAAAAAGTAAGGTAATTAAGCTTTATAAGTAATAGAAGCTTGCTAAAGCTTAACTTATAGAGGAGCGTTGCCTAAATTAAGTAATTACTAAGAAGGAGTAGGAGGAGAAAGCTACCTAAAAAGCTATTATATATAATAAGTAGAAAACTACTAAATAACTAGAAAAGTAACTCTAAAATAATATTAAAATATCCTAAATAGGTAATAGGTAAATCCTTAAGCCTGCTACTATTATACTAGCTAAGGTAGTTAATAAGGAGCTAGTAGAAGAGGATATAGTAGTAGAGGTAACTTTATAGCGTAGGCGCCTAATTAGACCCCCTAAAAAGCTGCTTATATAATCTAAAATATTTAATCTACTCTAATAGATCTAATAATCGCGACTCTAAGAAATCTTGTAATAATAGCTATTGTGGGTGGCGCAATATCCTTATTTAGTGGGTGGTGGATTTTAGTGTTGGTGGGCGCTCGGTGGGGGTGGGCGCTCGGTGGTGGATCACGTTAGAGGTGAATATGTGGTCCAAGTATGAGGTACGTACATGCAGGATAGTATACGCAAGACAAGAAAACCCCATCAAACCCAATTCCTCGTCCATCCAGCCACACGCGGGGAGACGTCCCGCCTATATACCCCCAGCCCTAACAAGGACAGCCCCCACGGCCGCCAGATGGCCAAGCTTATTCGTATCTACTCTGGCAGTTGGAGAGAGGTGCGGGGATAACCAGTACCGAGGTCGGGAATGCTGGGTGGCGGCGCTAGGTTAGGATTAGGCAACTATGCACTACACAGGTTGGCGATGCTCTCTGAAGCGAGGATGGAGCGAAACGTCAAAGGTTGCGTGCTCTTAATTAGATGGCTTCAATCCACGCTGTGCCTGATGTTTGATTGAAATCAAGTATATAGGTAGGAGGTATTGTGACAGGGAAAACCCAGGTAAACCGCCGCTGTTAGGATTCAGCCGGTGTCTCACTATCCAACTATTCATCATCATCACAGTGTGTCCTCGCTACTGTGTTCCGCAGTGAGAGGTCCACCCATGGTTGCATTCTTCTGGGCGCCAAATGGGATAGTTTTGCGCCACTGCGGTTTCCACATCATTTGCTTTCAACATCTCTTGTTATGTTAGTCTGGCTAGATGCCGCGAGGTGGCAGAGGGTAGAGCATAATAGCAACGGTGAGGAGCGTACAAGACCGTGCAATGGTAACATCACAGTGAGACGTAGCGCGCTTTCGTCTGTAAGAAGAACAGCGAGGAACCCATGTACGCTCCGATGGTCTGGGTTTTGCAGGATGGCACAGAGGCAGGATATGGATGCAATCGGGTGCTGGTGTAATTTCTTCGAATTTGATGTATCCTGAACGACTTGACAACCATCGCAATTCGCCCGGCGCTATGATCAAAAAGGGCCTGTAGCAACGGTATACAGGTATCTTCCCGGTCTGCGAAGCTCTCACTGCGCTAGCTCTATGCTCTGGCGCGATCAATTTGCAGTCCGATCGTTCCAGTTATGTACCCCCGTGACGCCGTGAATAAGGAAGATCAGAGAGGCAAAGTCGCCATGTGCTATGCACTCAAGCAGCTGGCTTTGCGAACTTGGCTCTCCGTGCCTCTGCAGCTGCCCGATCCTTCTCGCTCATCCAGCTTGTGCCTTGACCCCCGCCAGACGTGTTCTCATTCCTGCGGTTGTCACGGCCCTTGCGGTCCCTGTTGTCACGACGGTCGCGTCCACCCCGTCCTCCACGGCCGCCGCCTCGACCATCTTGGTCACGACCAACTCCGTCACGACGCTTGTTGCCGCCAGCTTGGTCACCACCCTCACGGCCTCGCTTGCGGTTGCGCTCTGGGAGAGCTTCATCGAGGCCTTGAGGGGGACCAACCTCACCAAACTTCTTGGCGCGCTCGAGCTTCTTGAGACCTTCGTCGTTTTCGATCTTGGTGCCGAATTTGAGGGCCCGCTTCTTGCGCTTCTCAATCTCCTCGTCAAGGTTGGTGGCCGCGAGCCCTCTCGAATAGTCGGGGACAGGCTCTTTGGACTCTTCTGGCTTGGTTTCAGTGGTGGCCTCAGCTGCGCCTTCTGCAGGTGGTTGAACAGAGAGATCATCCGTGGCTGCAGGGTCAATGTCGGCGACTTGGTTGGGAACGGCTTGCGGGTTTGTCGGCTGACCTTCACCCCCAGCGTTGGCGATGGTCTCTTCGTTGGTGGTGACTACCCCTTCTTTAAGCGCGTCTGCGGCGACCGGAGCGGCAGCAGCATCATCTTCGTCAACCTCATCGTCCCAGTCAATCTCATCCTCGTTGCTAGCAGCAGGCTTCGAGTTGGTCTTGTCGTCATCGTCCTTTTGCAAGCGCTCGACCATTTCGGCCTTCTTTCCGGTATGAGGCAGGCCACGCTCCTTGAGGAGGGCCTCCAGTTCGGCGTTCTTCATTTTGGTGTATTCTGGCATCTCTGCGTGCGCCTGCGGGGCGAAGCGGGTGGAAGCTGTTGAGAGACTTTGGTGGTGACGCGAACAGGGGCGCGTTCACGATGCGAAGTAGGCTCCGAGTATCTAGGAGATTCCTGCAGTAGATGAAATGGTTAGTATCCGTTCAGAGCGCGAGAAGCGCAGTTTCAGAAGCGTGGTGATGCGCGATGGGGATCGACAAAGGCTGCAGCTGCGATAGAAACAATGATTGTCCTCGAGGGGACGCGGCGCATTGAGTGAGACTGCAAGCTGCATTGACCTCAGCCAAGCCGCTAGTCCCGATTGATCGCCCCACAAAACAAGGTATCGCGCTAGTACTACTGTTCAGATGTTCAGTCTCCCCAACGCAGCATGTATGTACAAAGCGTCGTCTCATGTCGAAAAGCCAGGTGTGCTAATGAGGCCAAGCATACAAAGACAAGAAATATTGAACTTTGAGATGAAGTGTAGAAGACAACTCATTGTTTGCCATTCAACATTGAAGACTCCCATCGTTCCACCTTCCAAGCTATCGTCTCAGGTCTGCCAGATTGGAATATACCTTGTGTTATACACAGCAGAAAAAATCAAATGAAATAACCCTCCCCCCTTGAAACACATTACTTGCTCTTTGTCTTCTTGGGCGACCAGCTCCTCTCCACCGCCACCTCCGTGTGTTCCATGTCTCGTTTGCGCTTCTCAGGTGAACGTGAAGTGCGCAGGTCGACTCCTCCAGAGTCCTCACTGCCCGTTGACCGATTATGCCTATTTTTTCGTGTTTCGCCTTGGATGCCAGAAGCTGGAACTCGCGCCGACCTCTTCCTGTGTCGATGGCTGTGAGCATTGCATGTGTGCTTGATGTCCGAAACTCCTTCTGGGGAAGTCTGGCTATTGGCTCCATCGCCGGATGTTTGGCCCCGTGCAATAGGCTGTAGCGTGTCGAGGTCATGTCCAAGCTGGTGAGGAGTGTTTGGGGCTACCTGAGATGTGTCATTCTCGCACTCGCTATCTGTGAGCTCAATGTAGGGTCCAGTGATGTCCGTCTGGCGGCGCATAATAACTGTTGGGGAGGGCGATAGGGCCCTGGCAGAGCGTGGCCTGCCTCCAAGTCCAGATTTGGCATCATGACTTGCTGTCTCGACGGTTTGCAGCGCAATCTCCCTTTCGTACATCTGCTTCTGTTCTTCCAGCTTTTTCCTACATAGCTCATGTTGCTGCTCAAATTGGATCCTATGATGCTCATCCAGTTCTTCCATTGTCCTCATCCACATCGATGCGCGGTCATTCAACTTTTCTTGCCACCCTTGAGTCACTCTAGCCATTTCCATGTCGTGTTTCTCTTGTATCTCGCTGTCCAATTGAACGTGCATCTGCAAATCCTCCCATCGACGACGCTCAGCCGCTTCGATGCTATAACCGACTGCAGTAAGGGTTTGCTCCCACTTTTTGACATGACTTGCCAGCTCCCAAAGGTTTACAGCGCGATTCTTCTCTGCACATTTTTCCAGCCTTTCTACTATGTCATTCATGCTAGGGATGAGGTTATCGAGAAAAGCTTGTGGTGCCATGGAATTTGATGCCAATGCTTTTTCAGATCCGAACAAGGGGAGTGGCTTGATGATAGTGACATTGTTCTGGAAATCAGACTCGTCTACAGGCGAGTTCGGGCGCCCAGGTGAAGTTGGGGCAAACTGATCGGCCAGCGACAATTGGATAGCGCGGCGGACTGCATCTTCATCGTCATGCCCAGCGTTTTCGTCTTGTTCTCCAGAAAAGGATGCAGGTGGTACCAAGTTACCCCATTGCTTGCCGCTTTTCGCACTCGTACTCTCTGGCTTCACTCGAATACGAAGGCCTTTGCGATTGCCGCTGAGCCGAGCTTGCGAAAGGTTGGGCTCACTATCTAACGCAGCGCTGGATGTGGTTCGAGGGGGGCCATCATTGCGGTACTTTCTACGATTTTCAGCTTGGACACTACACTCTTGCGCCTCGTTGCTATTCTCGGACGCGTCGTCGTGGCGTCCAGATTTTGCTATGTCGGAACCCAAACCGACTACAGCGACGCTGCCATGGCGATTGTTGTTGATACCCGGTGAATCAGACATGTTCAATCTCGGATAGGGTACTGTGATGCGAGGGGGCAGTGTGCGAAGACGTAACTGACGACGAGCGCACAGGATGAGCAGAAAAGTGAAGCAAGAGAATGAGCGCGAGACAACGAGTGGGATACCAGGCGGAGGAGTTGTGGTAGTTTGTGTCAGGATGTTTTGTGAGTGACCCTTGATTGAGACAATTTTTGTTGATTGAGCACCCGTGAAGCCCGTTTGCTCGTCTGTGCGGGGAGGCACAAACGATCAATGAGACATACACAGGTGGCTCCAGCTATGTGTAGATTTCATGCCACCGTGATAGTCGTCCCATGATATGTCGTACATGCTTTATACCCTCTGGGGCTTCGGCTGCTTTACTTTCACCCGCAGTATACATGTTTCCGTCTACTGGTCGCGTGTGGATCGCGGAAACTGCCGCTGCAGAGCAATCGGCCGCCTGTTGATTTTGTTGAAGGCTTCGGTGATGATGGGCGAGCTATCGGTTCGAATTGTGGTGCCAATGGCCATGAAGAAGCTATCACAGTCAGCGAGGGCGCGAACGACACAAGGTAGTGAGTGGTAGTCAGGCCATACCCAAAGGTGGCTGCTGATCCCATCATATACTGTCCCAGTGTTCGTAGCATTCCGTTAGGTCCTGGTCCGAAGCGAACAATGTTGGTGAAGCCTAGGGCACGAGGGTCAGAATGCGCCTCCTAAGAGAGCCGGGCTGGGCTGGGTTGTAGGTACCGAAGATGAAGCCAATGATCAAACCGACAGCTGCAAAGGAGGTCAGGCTAGGTTGATTGCAGGGTCACATATGCCATCTACCTACCTCCGCCCATCATGCCACCCATCTTCACTACATGTTGTTAGCCATTGATATGGATTATGGGGTGCATCCACGGTCGCATCGTACATTTGTCGAGAGTTGAAGGGCCCCGGCCGTGTGCGCCTTGCGGCATCGATCCTACGGGAACGGGCATGGCGACGACTGAGTTGCAACAGGTACAGAGGTGTGAGAAAGTATGGACAGAGCAAAAGTGTGGCGGGCCTCACAGCAGCTCGCTCGGATAGCTAGGTGGTCGTCGTCGTCGTCGTCGTCGTCAAGACGGACTTTGTCCCACCACCCTTGGCTTAGGTACCTAGTTCTCGACGAGGGACGACCTAGATCCGCCCGCCCGCCGCGGCTCGTGCATGGCGAGCTTGGCAACACTACGTAGTGTACCTATTCCCATGTCCCTATGGCACGCGGGCTGGCACTGTCCAAGATGTAAGTAGGTACTACTACGTCTATGGGGGACTACATGACGGATGCAGAGTCCATCGGCCATGGTGCCGCCAGTATGAAGACTAGGGACCTAGTAGGCAGCACGTCAAGCTCCCTGACATTGCCTAGTGCGCCGGAACAATGATGATACTACTACAGAGTATCTCGAACAAGGACAATAACATCTATTAGAGTCATCAATGTCTAGAGCAGGTAGGTAGAGTACTACGGTATACCCCATACCTAATACTTGGACCGCAAGCACCGATATCTACGCCCACCCTTGTATCAACACTTGTCAAGAAATGAGACACAGGCCACACTCGCTGCCACGCCCGGTTTCCTCGCTGTTTCGCACGCTGGACTTTCTGACGTAGCGCCGCTTGGGGGTTAGGGTCACGTGAGCCGAGCCCGCGCCCATCCAGTCAACAATCCATTGCTTTGCTAGGACAGGTGGTGCCCAAGTGCTGTCGCAGGAATGAAGCGAAATAGTTGCGTTATTGTTCATCGCCCAGTTTTGACTCGAGCCGCCCCTGTGTGTGGCTCTAATTACCTGTTGCAAGCATTTTGTCCCACAAACACACGCACGCCCTCTCTCTTCTCTCCCTCCCTCTTCTAGACCGATATATCACGCCTGTTGTCTCGCCCCTCTGGCCAGTCAGCGGTGTCGCATCGCATTTACGGGACACCTGGGACAAGGCCCAACTGCCACCACCCTTTGGTGCCTCTCCACTTTGTCGAATCCTAGGGCCACCCGCACTGTCAATCAACCACCTGCACCTTCGCCCCCCCCCCCCCCCCCTCTCCCCTCATCAAAACAATGCCCCGGTCCCGGCCCCCCTATCCCCCATCACAAAAACCTCAATGCTGGGGCTCTGCTGACTGCCTGCCCTTTCTGTTGTTGTGTTTTTTCGTTTTCCCCCCAAATTTGCTTCCCCCTGAGTTTGTCCCAGGGGGGGCCCCGAAAAAAAAAACCCAGGCCCGCCGGGCGTTGGATTTGCCAATTTGGGGCCCCCCGGCCCCCCCCCCCCCCCTTTAAATTTTGGGCCCCCTTTTGGCCCCCCATTTGGGATTGACCCCCCCCCCGGTCTTTTTGTTTTTTTTGACTCCCCCCCCCCCCCCCCAAGCCAAGAGGAGGCTGACTGACCCGCTGCTGTCGCGCCGCCAACCGAGCACGAAAAAGGACACGGGAGGTGCGTGCGAGAAAAGTGACGGCCGGACCCTGAGACGAACTACTGCGACCACGCTCAAGACAAGACAACAACCACGACCTGCCTGCCACCACCAACACGACCACCACGCTCAGCTCCTTCCCTCACACCCAACACGAAACCACCACCACCGCCGCCGCTGCCATCACTAGCACTAGCACTAGCATCACCATCATCATCATCATCATCATCACCACGTCCTCCACGTCCACGCCCCCGCCCACAGCCACGCCAATGACGGCCGTCGCTCCCCCAGTCAATTTCCAGAACATCAATCGCCAGGCATGGACCGCTGAGGGCGTGCCCAACGGTGCTGCCATCTTCATGCCCCGTAGCGCAAAACGGTCCAACTCGTCTTCATCTCTCTCGTCACAGGCATCGAGCACGTCCACCCTATCGGCCTCGTCATCTCAGACCACCGCTTCCGCGCCGCCAAACAGCGCCGAAGCAGCCGCCTGGGCTGCACGCAAAACAAAAACACCAAAGGGACTATGGCCGGCCACCAAAACTGAGCCCATTGCCGGAATCACGACTGCACGCCCCCAGCCCGTGGCTTCTGCAAGCACCGGCTCCTCGGCAGCTTCCGCCATGAGCGCCCTGCAGGCCCCTTCGGCCATGGTGCCCTCCCAACACAATGGCCCTGTCCCCGCGCAGCAGCAGAACGGGGCGCCACGCCAACAGGCACAAGAGAGTGCAGCCGTCCTGCATCTGGTCCCCATGAACGGCACTTTTGAACGCAAGACCATCACCGTCCCCTTCTTCCCCGATGTCCTTCGCATCGGCCGCCAAACCAACAACAAGACAATACCTACCCCCCTCAACGGCTATTTCGACTCCAAGGTTCTCTCCAGGCAACATGCTGAAGTATGGGCAGACCGAAATGGCAAGATCTGGATACGAGACGTCAAGTCGTCCAACGGGACCTTCGTCAACGGAGCGCGACTCTCCCAGGAAAACCGAGACTCGGACCCACACGAACTCCGGGAACAAGACATGCTCGAGCTGGGTATCGACATTGTGAGTGAGGACCAAAAAACCATCGTACACCACAAGGTCGCCGCTCGCGTCGAGCATGCCGGCATCTATGCTCGGACAAGCAACGACATGATGGACCTCAACTTTGGCGAGCTAGAAGGACCCCAGCTAGCAAACATGATGGGCCCAGGTGGACAACAACAAATGGCCAACATGCGTGGTCGTACTGCTAGTCAAGGCTCGATCAACGGCCAGCGCCTGCAAGGCCCAGGCGCTGCTCCGAATTACCCCAACGCTATGCAACAACCACGGCATCCCAACTTCTGGTTACAGCCCGTCACTATGGAACAGGTCGTGAAGAAGCTCAATGTAAGTCGATGCTGCTCGACACGCTACAGTCGACTTGGCTAACATGCTCAGGCCGAAATCAAAGCCGCAAAGCAGCAGTCACAGGAGCTCCAGCAGACGCATCAATACATAAACAACATACTGGCTGCAGATCCAAAGAAGGACGGCTTAAAAGCCTCGCCCGTCAATCCTATCAGAATATCACCCATCAAGGATATCAATATGAAGGCTAGATTCTCAGACCCTCCTGCACCCCCACCACAACAGCCTCTACCAGAGAAGCCTGATGCTGCAACTTCCCTGAGAAGGTCGGATACCGAACGTGCGAAGACTGGATCTCCAGTTCGATCCGATGCCCAGCTGTCTTCACTCAACGAGGCTCTCGCCAGTGCCAAGAAGGAAATTGAAACACAGGGCATGCGTCTTCGCGATCTGGAGAGCCTTTTGAATGAGGAGCGTCGGGCAAGAGAAGAAGCTGAAGAGCGTGCTAGCCGTTTGGAGCGGGAGTCATCAAAAGAGCAGACTGAAACGGCGGAGGCGCTTGCTAATGGAAATGCCGACAAGACCGATACAGAAGACGAGCAGGAAAAGACATCAGAGCCACAGAAGGATGTCGCATCACCTACCGATACCGAGGACGCCACAGCTCGATTGCAGCAGCGTCTGGACCTTATGTTGACTGAAATGAACGAAATGAAGCAGCAGATGGAGCGGTACCGCGAGCGAGCAGAAACGGCAGAGGCCGACCGGCAATCATTGGCAGATATGATTGAAGCGATCAGAAATGATAATGCCAGGTCGGCAAGCAAGGAAGCTCGACGGAGGAGGCGAAGTGACAGCGAGCGCGCACGGGCACGAACGGCTGTTGGCACAGACGGCTCCGAGGATGACGAGACCGAAGAAGGCGAGATCACGATTATAAGAGAGGGGGATGGCCCGGAGGATGGCCCGGAGGCCCCACCCCCAGCAGCCACGACACAGAATGGCCATGCGGCAGAGCAAAACGGCACCAATCACGCTTCCAAGGCTCCTATTGGCTTAGTGACACAGCGATCCAACCATAACCTGTTGTACCACGGAGGCCCCGTGGGTGCCATCGTTACCGTTGTTGCTATCGGAGTTGCTGTTATGGCGATGCTGAATCAGTATCCCAAGACTGATCGTTGAAATTGTGGCGACCGACACAAAGTCCGCCATTGAATTGGGCCAGGTTAGCGCTTCCTCTTAGACGCATAAGAAGAGCGGAGAGAAGGAAGGATAGGAGAAGGGAACGATCTAGAAGGGCACTGCTGCTTCTCGAATTCTACACGCCTGGAAATCGACAACACAAACCCATTTTGGCCGACGATATCTGGACTACCACGACTCGGAGCTCTACTCGACTACCAGATGCCCGCAACGGCAGCAACGAGTCGCTCCTTTGGCAAAAGTGAACAGGGCACAAATCACCACCACCGTTCCCTGGCTTGCCCAGCAGGAACTATGCTCTATACCCAGGCAATGACAACATTAAAGCATCCCCCAGCATCAACGCTACCAACGACAAACCTACCATACACGAAACACCATCTCTCCACTCGTCCCCTAACAGTAATATACCAATAGTTTCTCACGGCCCAGCTCAGCCACCATCATAATTCGCGAATCCTGGCCAGCGCACATGTTCTCCCTGAGCGTTCTTCCACACTTTTTTTCCCACTGTTTGGTTTTAACTTCCCTTGCACAATTCACAGCTCACAATCCGGCGTTTTTTGGATCTTACAACTTGGGAAAGTCTTCTCTCTGTCTCTGTCTCTGTCTCTGTCTCTCTCTCTCCTGTATGTGTGTGTCTCTCGCCGGGGATGAAGAGCCTATTGACATGCAAGGGAACTTTTTATTGAAGGTTCGGGGGTGCAGATTCATTCATTGTATTATGCAGCGACTCCTTTTCAGGAGGGGATTTCCTTTGTTAGATGATATGATCGGAGGGGTGAAGAGGGGTTTTCTTTCTTTCCTTGGGATTTTTTTTTGGCGGTTGAGGGGTAGGATTAGGCAGGGGGTTGAGGGATGGCGTGGCATGAGATTAGAGTTGGAGGAGGAGGGTACTGCTTGGATGGGGTTTGGCGGGGGGAGGGAGATGAGATGTGCGGTTTTGGGTGGTTGGGGTGGTGTGGAGGAACTTTCAATGATATATATTTCACCTTGTATCTTGAACTGATTCTGATCCGTGTTATGTGGTGTGCATGTGATTTGGACATGTAGATGGGTTGACTGGCAAACAGTCGGGTATCTTAACTATACAAATATGGAGGCTCTGGCCTTTGCCTGCAGTCTCCCCACCCACCTACTTCATCCCAATACAAACAGTCACAGCACTCAACGTCCTAATCCTCGTCTCCGGCACTTCTTCTTCACCCTCCCCCCCCACAACCTCCACATCATCCACCGCCCTCACACTCCCCATCTCCACCCTAACCCTCAGCCCACCCTCTCCCTGAAAAAATACCCCAACCTCCAACGCCCGCACAATCGCCCTCCCCGTCGCCTTGAGATAAACCAACTCCCTCCCCGCACTCCCCCGTCCCCGCATCGCACCCGCCATATCGCGCTCCACAGCCTGTGCCTCGAGCCGCCCATTCGCGTCGGCCGCGCCGCTGCCGCTGTGTCGCTGCATGCGCGCCGCCG